ATAGAAAATGTTGAGAAGCCCAAATTGCCCAAACTAGTTTGGGCTTTGAGAAAACAGTTTGGACCAGAAACCTTATTATCAGCTGCAGAATGAAGACAATGATGCAATTGCAAAAGAATCTAGGATTGTTGGTTGTCTTCCACCACATCCATTCACTCCTCAAAAATCTAAGCATAAAAAAGGTGTTATAACTACACATGTAATAAGTGATCCAGAAAGTTCCCCTATTCGTCCTATTTGATAGTTATAACCAAAACTTTATTAATTGGAAATTAATGTAACTTCATTTATAGCTTACTTCGATAATTAATTTATATATTAATTGTATTAGGTACGATTTGCTTTTGCAGTAAAAATAAAAAGTGGCATTTTTATTGAAAATAATTTTTAAAAATCTACAGAGCATAAAACTATATTACTTGTTTCAACGAATTTTGGTTCTGCCCCCCTTTTTTATTAATTTTTTGTTCCAATGAATTTTATATATAGATTATATTACAACTACAATAAATTTTTGGTAGGGATTTGGAATACATTGGAAGCATAAGAAAATATTACAAGTGATAATTAAGGAATAAATAATGAAATGATAACTGACGAAGAAATTATTGCTTCATTCAAGCCAATTGAAGAGAAAGCTGCGATTAAATATAATATAACTGCACCTAATATTCAATAAAAGATGCTGTAAATGTCTTTGAGACTGCTTACAATTCTCTATGACAAGGCGATATAGAAATAGACTATATTGAATCTAAATCTTAAGAAAAATAACATTATTAAATATTCAAAAACAAAAACAAAGTAGTACTACAACATATTTTAATAAATAATTATTATTGAAATTTACCAATTAAATTTTGGGGTGGGTGTTTGAATACAAAATTCTGATTGGCCAATTTGAATTTCACGTGCGTGAATTTCAAGTTGACGCAGATTCCAAATTCACGCACAACATTTTTTTTTACTTATATATATATATTAAAATATAGTAGACATGTCAATCGCGTGACTGATAATCTGTATAATTATTGTTTTGATCGGTTTTTTTGGGAAAACAATTTACAAAACATGTTATTACTATTTTTTACTTGTATTGATATAATGCGGTGCCTTTTATTTTATATAAATATTTTAATTGGAAATCAAAACGCGGAGCAGATCTTGCTGGGTAATTATAAGAATCTCATCAAGACGATTGATGTTTTGCTTTTCGTAATCATTAATAATAACGTTAATATTAAATATATAATTACAAGATGTCAAGGCAACATTGACTGTTGAAAAAGAAACAATTCGAGTATGTGATGTTTGATTATCGGAAATTAGTAGACGTTGAAGCACGCATGCTACCCTGAACACTTTACAGTCATTCTCATCTTCCTCATGTACAACGGCTAATCCGACTTGCCTCCCCCGACGATACAATGATGCAATTGAATTCCAGGGGGGGACCGCTATGCTCTGGAGTTTACCAAAACTGCATCAATCATTGACACTTTTACTAATCTTCCCAGACCAGAGAAGGCCGCTGGCATGTTAGACAAAAAATTTCCTGCAACGATCCTGCCTCTAGGGTAAGGATGGCTCTGTGACCAAGTTGCAGCCTGGAGGAATATCAAGAGAATCTGCAACTCGTTCCAAGTGTAGGAAGTCGCAGTTCAGAGCAGGGTTGGTGGCCCTGAAATTGCATTTGAACTCTGATGTTAAGAGGAAAGTTGTAAAATACTGTGTTTGTTTTGTATAATCATTTTCATAAATTCTCTGTTTCTTTGATACTAACCAATTTATAAGTTTGGGTGAGGACAGGATGGGTTTTTGTCCAATCAGTTTTTTGTCCTTGGTCTGAGAGGAAGATAAGGAAATGGTTTGTCTGAAGCCTTCTGACATGTGGGGTGTCTTCAACTGTGGAGAAAAATTCATGGTGCTGAAGCGTGTGAAAGCGCCTGACTACAATGTTTGTGATAGGAAATTTTAATTAAATCTATTGGTTCTTTTTTTACTGGTTGAATGATGCCAAATTGGGTAATAGGGTATCAGCAAATATCATAATCTGATTATTCTTTAAAAAAATAATTTAGGTATTAGCATACCAATAAGTTAATAATATTCTTAGTATTTTTATCATATAGTCTAAAAGCCTATTAGTAAATATTGAAAGTGTCAATATTTATCAGTTATTCTTTTAAAATTAATCCTTTTTTTTGGTTAATTATTGCTTAATTTAATAAACCAATAACTCTTTTATATTGTAATTAAGTTATTTGGTTAAATATTTCTAAAGCTCTTTGTACTAAAATAATACCATAATCATTAGCATGGCTACATCCTAATTGATAATGGTGATCTCTGGATAAATTCGTCTGGTGGGTATTCTAATTTTTCCATATCAACTATTTGCAATTCTTCCCTCTTGAATGGTCTACAAGGATTACATCCTTTTTCGAGATAATATAAGGCAGGTTGAGGTGGATCCTTTCCAACAACAACTTTCCTGATTCGATAAACTTGCAGGCTCCAGTATGGATCGGTTGCGTGATGCCTATGTCTACCTTCTAGCACACCTGGTTTTAATAAGTATTGAACAGTAGTTCCTTTTGATATTTGCTCTTCATCTTCTCCAATTGGCTTCTTGGGTTTTATGGAAGGTTTAGATATCACTTTCTCCAATGTCATAGCATGGGATGGGGTCATTCCAATTAATCGTGTAGGCTGTTGTTCATATTATCAAAAATTACTTTGAGAATTTTATTCCATAATGTTGAACGCTCTCCTGCTGGTAATTTAGATTCTATAGCATATATATTGAATTTTGTATATTATTTGTGCTAATCTTCGTTTTGCTGCTTTAACCAATGCTAGACTTTCAAAACTATAAAGATCAACAACCCAGATAGAAACATATATCATTGCATTCCCTGCGAAAAATGTCCAGTATCAATAATTTCGACCATGTGAGAGGGTTGTTGGGATCATTGTAAATTTCTTTGATAGCATTCCAAACTTCTAAACTATTCTTTAATGTTAACAAACGTCCAGCTTTATCATAGCTATGGGTCAACAGATCGCACTGATGTACTTTGTTAGGAATAGATATCTTCTGGAATCCTGCTTCTGCTTTGCATTTTGATGGAAAGAGAAATACTTATGGATGAACTGATGATTAAGCCAGGATTCAATGTCAGTGAGGCAAAATCTATAATCTTCTTTTCTGCGTGCATCTAACAATTTTTTGGCATTCGAATAAAATCCAGGTACATGATAACAAATTAGATGAAGAATGATTTTTAACTCCTCATCAGCGCTGATTATAATGGTAGGGATACTCATTGCCATTATCGTGAAATGTTATAATTTATATTATAAAGCAAGACTGTATTTGTGAGATGAATTTCCAAATCGATTCTGCATACTTAAAACTGCTAGATACTAATCGAGAGTTATGTAAAGAAGTAGACATAAACCACGAAAATGAGAAAAAATCTATAGTCTCGTCAAGGATCTTGAATATTATTGTAAGACAGTATGTCACTCAGTACGTTACTCACTGCATCTATTTATGAATGTTTTATACATAATCAAAAACGTACCATTTCAGTATGCCATACATTCAGTACTTGCTCTGTATGTTTATGCGGAAACAAAACTATTACATTTCAGTATGTTAACATTCTATACATATTTCGTATGGTTTATGCGGAAACAAAAACGTACCCTTTCAGTATTAGCATGATTCTGTACTGCATAATAAGTATTTTAATTCGGATTTTGCTGGCTTGGGACAACAGTCACAGAACATTTTCTAAAATTTTCACTTGTATTCTTTCTTAATTGTTTCATTTTTTCAACCCTCTTTTGTTGCGTGTATAAAAAACAATCAGTTAAATGCAGTGCAAGGAGAAAAAAAGAAGAATGAAAACCGGTATAAAGAAAATTGCACATTGAAAAGAACAATAAGAGGTTAGTAAAAGAACTAAAAACTTTATATCTGATAAAGTCTAATTGTGCCTTGGAACATTTAAACAACTTCGTCTGTCACATCAGTTCTTCAATACGAGCTTATTTACGTTATGTTCTTGGACACCTCTCAACATTGCTTGTATTTCATGGTACTAGGTACTGGCGTCACTTTCATTTTAAAATATATATCAATAAGCAGAAGGCTATCGTAGCATACGGAGATGGGTTTTTCTCATCCAGTAGCCATAGAAATCCATCTGATCCTAAAAAATAGTTCTTTGTACATTTATAAAAAGCATGGCAGGTTAGGAGTTTGGTACTTACATCATTTGTTCTTGCTGAAATGGACAAGTGGAAAACGTCTACCAGGTTTGGCAACTTGTGAATATGTGCACGGCTTTATATCAATGTTTCACGTAACATCTGATCATTATCCATTATTTATGAAAGGATAATAATGGAAGAGCCAGGATCTTTAACCATTACCTCGTTGCGTTAGTCAGCTCATTATATGAATTTGTAGTAGTAGGAGCTAGAACTTTTGTTTGCAGTTCATATAATGTTGCTGCTGCCATAAATCTGAGGTCAATACTTTAAAAATTACAATAAAAATAAAATAATAACCCTAATACTAATATTTAATAATCACAAAAGAAAAAATAATTTAAACAAATTTTTTTTTTTAAAATAAAATTATTGATATTTTTCTATCATTATTATATTGTTATTATTAACTTTTTATTTATTTCAAATTCTCATAAGGAAAATTTTTTGGAATTATTTCTGGCATGTCATTAATATATCCAACAAGCCATTCAAGTGCATCAACAAGACCTTTTTTTTTTTAATTAACAAGAGAATTTAGTATAAAGAAAAGTGTAAATATTAATCAAAAATAATAAACTTACGAGGTCCTGGACGATTAAACATCTTTAATATTAATATAATATATAAATATAAAAAATATAAATAAAAATATATAAATATACACATGTATACATTTTATATTTTACCTGATTTCCATCAACCAATGCAATTTTTTTAGCATTATTGGCTAATTCGGGCCACCAATTTGAAGGCAACAAAGTTTTTTCATATTCTTTTTTTGTTTCGTCAAGATTTAAACCACATGGACAAATTATTAAAATTTCAGGTTTAGAATCAAGAATTTCTTGAGGAGGCACTCGGAATCTAACTTTTATCAATAATTAATTAAACAATTTATACATTTAAATAATAATATTTCTCATCTAATTTTAATTCTTAAAATAAAATAAATCATACGAAGGTGATGCTCCAGCTTGAGCAATTTCTTCATCTTTACAATCATTTATCACTTGGATTCCCTAAAAGATAATATATATTTATTATTCGTACATTATATTTATAAAAAATATTACTATTTTTAATTAATCGATTTATCATACACACATTACTCCAACGAATCAATTGAGGAGTCCAATGTCCACCAAGATAAATAGGATCACACCATTCAAAAAATGCCACTTTTACTGGTTTCAGTCCATTATTTTTTGACCTTGATGCTGCTTCTTTTGCAATTTTAATGCGTGATTGAAGTGATGAAATCACTTTATCTGATTTTTCTATTGCTCCAAGTGATAATCCCACCTTTCTAACTGATTCTACTACATCCTTGTATATTAAATATGTAAAGCTTTTTAAAAAATATAATTAAAAAATATAATTAAAAAAAAATATAATTAATTAATGATTACTTCAATTGACATTGGGCTCAATGTAACCACATCTGGAACTTTTTTTTAAAAAAAATTATTATTAATTTTAATTAGTTAATTAATATTAAATATATGTGATATATATGTAATACCAGGATCCATTTCTTTCGCTATTTTTTGAACAGTATTTAAATCGATTGAACAAACATTACAAAGGTCCTAAATAACATTTCTTTAATTAGCATCATAGAAACGCCAACAAATTAGAAAACCCCCAATTTACTTACTTGTGTGACTATGACATCTGGTTTCAGACTTTTCAATAAACCTTTATCTAATTCGTAAAGACTTTTCCCTTCTGCAAGAAGTTGTGATACTTGTACATCAACATCGGCAGATGTTGTAAATTTAGTTCTGGAAGATTTTTTTTATCCCATGAATTAATCAAATATTATTATTATTAACAACATCAAAAACACCTGCACACATCCATATATATTTAAATCAATTATTTTGTTCATTACTTTTTTGGCACAATTAAAATTTATAATAATTACTTTGGAGCTGTTAAAATTGGTAAAGAAGTCACATAACTAGGATAATCATCTTCATGACTTCTGCCAACAAGTTGGATCGAATTGCTGGTATCATCTGTTATTAAAGCAATTATTTCTGCTGCTGAAGGTAAAAGTGATATCACTTTTTTTGTTTGTAATGCCATTGAAGGAAAGAATTAATTGAAAATTTAAATTAGGTAATAATCAACACAAATTGAACCATTAAATCCCCAAAGTCGAAATATTTCAACTCGAAACAATTACATAGTAATGAATATGATATAGCAGTAAATTGAAAAAAAAACAAATATGTTGGGAATTAAGGACACCAATCAAATATGTTAATATCAATATGAAAACCCATTAAATCCGTTAAATCAAGATAAAAAATAATCAAGCCTAATCCGCTAAATCGAGTTTCAATGTGTTATTTATTTTTCAACATTAAATTATTATTTTCAATAATTATAGGTTCTTTCCAAACTTTTCTAAATGGCATGTGATTATCCATGTAAGAATCATCTTGTTTAATATAAGGTATAAGTGCATCAGATGAATCTTTTTGGGCAGTGGTGACCTAATTACAAAAAATGCATGCATGTGTCTGAAGAATTAGCTTAAAGATAATAATATTACTAAACTGTAATTAACTTTTAATTTTTGATATTTTAAAAACCCAGTTATTTTCAATTAAAATTAATGTGAGCAAAATAAACTGTATATATATTTGAAAAAAAATTTATATCTGACCCGGTATCCGACCCGACCCGACCTGTTCGGGAATCACTACTACACATATATAAAATTCCCTGATTGATAAATGATTTGCGAATTAAAGCTTTTTTATACCACTCATGTTAAAGCACCATTCTAATTTGTATCCTTAGATTAATATGAGTCTGCGTGAATTTCTTATCATCTCCATTAATAATACAAATTCCATTTTTTCATTGAGAAAAAAAAATAATTAGTTGAGCCCAGATTCTTTATCAATGTTTTTCATCAACATTTAAAAGCAAAAATCCCACCCAGCAAAATGGGGTTTTAGCAATAAAATTGTTTTGTTGATCATTGTACAAATGTGACAACAACATAATGAAATTTTGATTATTACTACGCCAATTAAAAATAATAAAATGCGCCTATAATTTGAAGCAACACAAATATAATATCTATATCAATAAATGACAAGCTTGAAAAAAAAAAATTTACATCCCCATTTGAATTGATATATTTACGGAATGTTTAAAGCTTGCATTGAACTTTGCGACTTGTAATTACCCAATGTATCATCTAACATCTAACTCTATTAATCCTTTTTGCCTAATGAAAAATATTACATCATTAATAAGATGCTTATTTATTCAAACACATTTGCTACTGTAATGCATTAAACATAATAAACAATAAACATAATAAGAATATTCATACCTTCCTTTGGTCTAGTAGATCCAAGCATGTTCTTTATATAAATAATTTAAGGGTTTATAAACGCACCTTTAAACAAAAAAAGTTTGATAATGAAATAATATTTACTTTTTTTTTTGAATGATAGAATATAAAATAGGTAGAAAGAATATATTATTGCACAAATCGATATAGGCGAGTCATATGACGGGTCAGTACATTTAATATGTGGTGTAATTAAATGCCGATCATTTCTCGAAATCGAATGCCTCTATGTCAAAAATGTCCACATGCCAAATAAATAAATAAATAAATAAATGAGGATATAGTAATAGTAAAATGAATTGCGCCGTGACCATAAATTTCGTCAATAAAAAATAACATATCAATATATTCATTTCATTTATTTCATTTGATTTTAATTCTTGTAAAATGACTCAAAGCAAGTTACAAAGAATTGTTCTTTTCTTTTTCGATACAATTTTTTTTAAAAAAAAATATATATATATAACCACTTGATTTTGTTTTTAAAAAAATAAATTTTTTAAAATAAAAATAAAAATCAACTTTTTTTTTTGAAAACAAAAATTTGTCATTCTGAATAAACAAATAAATGGCAGCTTTTTCAAAAAAGAATTCTTTTTCAAGAGAGGCCTTTTCTGGCACCTTAGCAGGATGCGCTGAAGTTGTCGTTGGTAAATAATCAATTGCTATCGTAATTATTAAAACGAATCGATTCTATATTAATAGTTGTTAATCGTATTCCTTTCCTCCGGATCCTTTTCATTCTTCCCAGGGTTTCCGTTTGATACTATCAAGGTTCGACTTCAAACTGATTCTCAAAAATATAAGACAGCAATAAACTGTCTAAAAATGACAATTAGACAGGAGACTGTAAGTTATTATAATTATTTCTTTGCATTTTCATTTTCTTGTTTTCATATTTTATTTTTCGATGATGTAGGCTCTAGGTTTATACAAAGGCTCTTCTTCTCCTATGTTGGGAAGCGGAATATCCAATGCCGTTTTATTCAGTACAAATCAAAAATTCCGTAACATGCTCAAAGGTGATGATCCAACACGTTCTTTGACATTAAGTAAGTATTATCATCATAATCATCATCATAATCATCATCATCATCATCAAATTCTTTCCATCATCATAATTACTATCGTCACCGCAACAGTCCAACTAATCAATCATAATCATTTTTTAAAAATTAGTCGAGGTTGCAAAAGCTGGCGCATTAACAGGCATAGCCATGTCGTTTGTAAATTGTCCGATGGAGCTTCTTAAGGTGAAGCTACAAACACAATATGATCTATCGGCCAAAAGCAAAAAAGTATATATATATTTTTTACGTTTTCGAATCTATTAGCACGTGATAAAATAAATGAAATCTAACCCACATTTTCCTATTATATAGTATACGAGCGTATTTCACGCAGCCAGCTCAATTTATAAACAAAATAATATTAAAGGATTGTATCGTGGTCTCACAGCAACTATAATTAGGGATATACCTGGTTTTGCCACCTATTTTTGTAAATATTTATTATTAAATCAACTTTTTATAATATTTTCTTTATATATATTAATGGTCTATTTTCTTGTTTTGTTATATTAGTTGTTTATGAAGGAGTCAAAAAATTATTAAGTAATCGTAATCATCGAGGTGACTCCAACAAAATTACATGTTTAGAACTACTAGCGGCGGGAGGCGCGGCTGGTATTGCATGTTGGATACCTTGTTATCCACAGGATGTGATCAAAACTCATATACAAAGAGAATCAAGGTTAATATAAATAAATAGATAAAATTTTTTATTAACAACTTTACAAAATCAGCAAACAATTAACGCATTTTATTTATTTATAGTTACACGTCAACTTTACATTGCATTCGAACTTTAATTCGAGATGCCACAAATTCAAATAAACCAATATTTAAAGTATTCACCAAAGGGTTCGCACCTACTGTGACCAGAGCATTACCTGCTAATGCTGCAATATTCTTTACCTATGAAGAAGCAAAAAAATTTTTCCATGAAAAAGAAAGTTCATACCATTGATTATATTAATATTTGTACACAGGGTGTGTAAGAAAAAGGATTTTTTTAGCAGCCAATTGTCACTACATTCTATATAGAGATCATTCTTGAACTTATCACAAAGATTATGATGCTGATTTGATTTAAATCGGATTTTTGAAAGTCAATTATTTTAAGCTCGAAATTTATTAAAAATGTGCTAATAGTCATGTGATGATTATTCAACAATGTTCATATATTGAAATATCAAAATTTTTGTTGAGTTTATTAAGCAAGACATAAAGTAATGAATGCCAAAAACTCCAAAAATTGGAATGGCATTTGGCAAATTCGTGAGAAATGAATTTGCTGATTTTTATAATTGAATTTTTAAATGGAACAAAATTAACTCCATTGTCTAATATTAAAAGTAATTAGAAATAAGTTCATATAAAATTTATATTAATAGAAACTTCTGATTTCAGCTTTCTTTTTGATATATTTTTATCTATTTTCATTCAACCATTATTATTATTGAAAAACAAACAAATAAAGATTTCCGGTTTTTTTTGTTACTATTACACAATGTACATCCACACATTAATTTCTTATCATTAATAAAAAAAGTTTTGATTATTAATGTATTTTTATAACAATGTTCTAAATCAGGATCTGTTATAATGGCATTCAAAGCTGCATCTTGTTTTCTAATATAAATTCTTTTAAAATTGACGTTATTTAGTGGCGATGAACAGTGTTGGCAATTGGACTTATTAGACTCTGGTCCAATTCTAAAGAATGGATTAATTATTATCAAAAAATTGTAATTTTCAAACATAATAAAGATATTTTATAATTCTTGATAAAAAGAAGGATTGTTTAAATCTTCTTCTTCTATTCCCCATTTTCCCTTTCTGTCTACTAATAGCTGGGTGTCTGGTCCTTTTGATCCTTCCATCGTAGTTTCTGTATCAGTATCAGTGACCTAATCTAACTATTTTCTCATTTAAAAAGTTATTTCAAAAAAATTTACAATTCAATGACAAGTTTTTTAGTTAAGTTATTTTCAATTCATTAATATTTATATTAAGTTGAGCGCTCTTACAAGCAATGCAGATACCCAAGTGATTATAAACATTTAGTTTATCAGGTATAATATGAAAGTATTTTTATATCAATTACTTCCTCAAGTAGGCATTAATAAAAATTCTGATTATTCGCGAGGAATGTTTTTGTATGACAAAGTCCAAATAAAGTCTAGTCTGATCCAAGAAGTCCGGTCCGGTCCAAGAAGTCCAGACCGGATTAATTTTGTTGATTTTTTACGTTGATAATTATTTAAAAGTTCAATATTATTATGATGCACTTGTTTCCTAACCTTTTACATATTTTGAGAATTTGAGTTAAATTATCAACTTTCATTAATTAGTTTTGATTGGTAGTAAAAATAGAAGGCGAAGTGGTAGTAGTAGTAGGAGTAGTAGGAGGAGGCGGTGGGAATAGTAGCGAATTATTAATATCAGGTAAAGGTTTTGATGGTAAAGAATAAAAAATCATATACTATTACGACTAGGATGGTTTGAATTAAAAATTTAAGTCATATAACAATTACAAACTTCTAATTTAATATTTTCGACAACTTTCTCCATTTTCTTAAAAAACACATCGTTGATTATCAGATATGATCCTGATGATTTAAACTTGATAAATCGATCATTTATTTATATTATCGAGTACTTCAAACAATTGATTGCCGCGCTCGACTTATCAAGTTTACATGTGTATCATCATCATCATCATCATCATCATTATCATTGTTATAGCGTCATTACGAATCGACAGAAATCACTAAATAATCATTAAAATTTTTTTTATTCATTAAACATACATGAAATTTTTTACAGTACATTTCTGATTCATTGGCTTACAGTAGTTTTCATTACTAAATAAAGAATTACGTGAAAGTCTTGTGTGTCAAAAAAAGCGTTGAAATTTTTGTATAATTTTTAAAGATGGAAAATGAAAATTTAAACCCCCAAAGAATTGAGTGAAAAAACTCGTGGACAGATTATTGGTATGTCTAAAGCTGGTAGTAGCGAGAGACAAATCAGTAATGTCTTGGAGTAGCAAAGTCTACAGTCCATAATACTTTGGCGCGTTTGAGAACCACTAACACAACAAGTTCTGCCTGCACCTTGACCTGGACGTCTCAATTTAATTACTGAAGAAAAGGAATTAATGATTTAATTAAATAAATAAGATGGACAATGATTGATATCTATTGTAATTATAAATAATAATAACAACATTATTGCTGTATAATAATAATAACAATAATAAAATTCAACTATCCAATTCTACAACTGTTGCACCATCGTTGATTACATCTAAAACTCTAACAACAGTTTGAATTTTTTTTTCAGAAAATATATTAGTTATTGCAGTTGATATATCATCAAAATTGTGTGTCGCCAATGCAAGAATCGTTGGACCAGCACCACTCAAACATATTCCTAATAACCCCGGATGTGTTTTTGGTTTTATGCTTGTAAGAATTTCAGATAGACCAGGGACCTAAATAAAAAGACAAGAGAATAAATGATATTATATAAAATAAAATTATAAAAAAATTTTTTTCCAAGGAAGGAAAGTAATACTAACCAAATCTTTACGATATGGTTGATGAATTTTATCTTGCATTGCTTGAAATATTAAATCAGGGTTTGGTGGTGATTGTGAAAGTGCTGTGGTTAACACTGCTAATCGTTGTAAATTAAAGATCTTTCATTCGCACACACATATATATATTAATTAAATGAAATTAAAATCACCGATAATTGATTTCATGATTATTTATAATTACCAAATCCTCTTTTTTGTATTCGGAAGGTAGTACGCTTCTAGAAATGGCAGTGGGTACTTCGTATTGTGGAATGACCACAATTGCTTTGATTTCAATTGCCCAATTTAACCTTATATATTTACTTCTACCATATGGTACATTGGGCATAGAATTTCCTTCTTGTATGCCGCCACCATTATTAATATAACTACTACCTTTATTTGATGATGACAATACTTCAGAGTTATGTATTATATTTTCATCCTGATTTTGATTATCTAAATCATTTAGATATGAGGCAATAAAACCACCCATTAAAGCTGCAGTGACATTATCAGGATGATGTTCGATCATCAAACAATAGTCAAGCATACGATCTTTTGTTAAACCTAATTTACCAATCACATCACCAAGCATCACACCTGCCACAACAGCTGCTCCTGAGGAACCTAGTCCACGTCCAAGTGGGATGTTGTTGTCAATATGAATATTCAGTGAACATGGTAAATTCGAAATGCTGTTACAAGCCAATACATATAGTGCTGTTTTTGTAATTAGATTTTTATCAGCCGTTAATGGTATAGAATCTTCACCCTCTCCACTATAAGTAATGTTTATGACGTTTGCATTGGCAGTATTGTTTTTGGTATCAAGGATCTCGACCGTAACATGAAGATATAAAGAAAAAGTTACACCCAATACGTCAAAACCTGGACCAATGTTCGCGGAAGTACAGGGAACAGTAATTTTTAATTTTTTTGGTTGAATCATTAAATTTCTTATGGTGTATGTTTATGGCGGTGATGGTTAAAAATTATTGAACTAATATATATATAATAAAATTTTAATCTGATCGAAAAAAACATCATTTTATCTGATTTAGATGGCACGTGTATCATTCAAAAATCTATTTTTTATATCTGGCCGCAGTAATTATTGATCAAAGAAATTAACTGTTTAATCCAAAAGCATACATTTAGTGATTCTTCTCATTTTAGAACATATCAAGATGAGAGAATTACCGTCGAAAGAATCTGCACTTTTCAAGCAAATACTAGCAAGTCTTTTTTTTATGATAATTTTTCTTTTTGATTCATTCTAATTAAAGAAATATTTTTTCTCAATTCACTAAATTTTTAGAAGTATTACGAGTTTAAGCAATATAAAAAAGGGTTGAAGGCAACCGAACAAGTACTAAAAAAATTTCCAGAACATGGGGGTATTTATTATTTTTCACATTATTATGGTTGATATTCAATGTAAAGCAGGTGTGTGTATATATATGCACACATATACATATGAAATTTATATGAAATATACCTCATACGTAAAAGAAGAAAAGAAACAATTAATAAAAAGCATAATGATCGATGATTCTTGAATTAAATTATCACAGAAACATTGGCTATGAAAGGATTATTTCTTAACCATATGGATAGAAAAGAAGAGGCTCACGACTTTGTGCGCAAAGGAATTAGATATGATCTGAATAGCCATATTTGTAATTATTAGTTTAAAATTTTTATAAGATATATATATATATATATCAAAGAGATACTTAATCCAGTTAATTGGATAGGCTGGCATGTATATGGCTTATTGCATCGATCTGATAAAAATTATGGTGAAGCCTTAAAATGTTATACCAGAGCTTTGAAATTTGATAAGGTTCATTTTAATTTTATGGTTGATTTTGTAATAAATAGGACGGAGAAATAAAATTCTATTTATTATTATTTTAAATAGGATAATATGCAGATTCTTCAAGATTACTCTCTTCTTCAAATTCAAATGCGAAATTATGAAGCTTTTAATGTAATTAAATTTTAACAGTGTTATTTTTTATTATAATCTCCTAGATTTTTAAAAAATATTGTAATTAAGAAATTTTTGCATATTCAATCAATTCCTTAATCAAGGAATCAAGAATTCATTTATTATCTTTAAGGCAAAGTAATCAAAGGAATTGGATTAGACTGGCAATATCTTATCATTTACTTGAGAATTATGAAACAGCAGAAAAGGTTTTGAAAAGTTATGAAGATACATTAAAGGTATTTTTTCATATAAAAAAATCATCAAATCTACTGTAACACATTAATTAATATTTTTTGTATTAAAAAATAGGAACATAGTTTAACGAGGTTTGAACATAGTGAAACACTATTGTACCATAATTTTATTATAGAGGAAAGTGGTAATTTCGAAGCAGCATTAGTTCATCTAGATTTTATAAAAAATAAAGTTTGTGATCGTCGACTTTGGAAAGAGAAAAGAGGTCTATATTAATTAAATTATTATTTTTATATATATATAAGACTTTAATTAACTGGTTTTTATGCATGCAATATATATTTATATGGATCTTAATGTTAATAGCACAATTTCTTTTAAAGTTGAATAAATTGCAAGAAGCAGTAGAAGCATATGAAGATTTGATTAATGATAATCCTGATTGTTATGCATATTTTGAAGGAATACTGGATTCCAAAGGGCTAAATAATAGTATGCATGTGTATTAAATTTCATTATTATTTTTTGCTTTTTATTAATATTTTGATAATGAGTTATCAATCACCATAGAGGACCCAACACTTGAACAAAGAAATGAAATCTTGGATTTGTTTAAAGAATTGGCCATTAAATATCCAAAATCTAATGCAATTAAATATTTTCCTTTAAATTATGCCATTGGTTAGTTGAAAAAAATTCTATATTTATTGCTAATTGCTTTTTTTTTTTTTTTGATAATTTTAAAACTTTTTGATTAATTTTGAATTGTTAGATGTCACTTTTAGAACAATGATAGATGAATATATGCAAATAGCTATCCGGAAAGGTGTTCCTTCATTATTTGTAAATCTTAAAAAACTCTACACTGATCCACAAAAAGAAAAAATTATTGAGGAATTAATAGAAGAATATTATCAGAATTTAATGAATCATGGTGTTTTTACTCAGAGTGGAACTACTGCCAGTGATATTCGGGAACCTCCAACAGCATATCTTTGGACACTTTATTTGCTTGCACAGCATTACAACCACAAACATGATGTTGTAAAAGCTCTTAAATTTATCAATGAAGCAATTGATCATACACCTACTTTAGTTGAACTATATATGACAAAAGGTCGTATCCTCAAGGTTTGGAAAGATTTTTAATTATTTATCTGTGTGAGTGACAAAAATTTTTTAATGTAGCTCTGAAATAATATATATAATAAATTTTAAAAAAATAGCATGGAGGTGACATTTCAGAA